AAGATCACATTTCAAAGACTTGGCTCCAGGGTCCCGGAGGAGGAGACATTTCTGGCTCATTGATCCCTTTAAGAGCGTCACAGACATTTGAAAAGGACAGAGAAAGGAACCCTGAAAGGAAAGGCGCCGGGAGGGGAGAAGACTCTCCCTGTTCCATTGTTTTCCACGGGGAGAAGGAGGCCTCTGATTTTCAGGGCGCCCTTGTGTTCAGGAAAGTGGCCTGTGGGAGTTTCAGGATCTCAGTTCCAGCCCGCAGGCCGAGTGCTTTTCTGTGAAGCTTTCTCTGCAGTGTGGACGCTGGACGGGAATCCAGACCCCAAAAGAGGGTTTTTGGATCTTTCACAAGAAAGAATTCGGGGTGAGTCTGTAAGGTGGAAGCAAGTTTATTAAGAAAGTACAGGGACGGCCGGGGGCGGCGGCTCAGGCCTGTCACCCCAGCATTTTGGGAGGCCGAGGCGGGTGGATCACGAGGTCAAGAGATCGAGACCATCATCCCAGCACTTTGGGAGGCCGAGGTGGGTGGATCACGAGGTCAAGAGATCGAGACCATCCCGGTCAACGTGGTGAAACCCCGTCTCTACTAAAAATACAAAAAATTAGCTGGGCACGGTGGTGCGTGCCTGTAATCCCAGCTACTGGGGAGACTGAGGCAGGAGAATTGCCTGAACCCAGGAGGCGGAGGCTGCAGTGAGCCGAGATCGCGCCATTGCACTCCAGCCTGGGTGACAAGAGCGAAACTCTGTCTCAAAAACAAAAAAAACAAGGCAGAGGGATCAAATAACTACTCCAGGCTCAGCCCCTGGCGGCCCACACCTTGACAGGGTGAGGTGGGTGGATCGCCTCAGGTCACGGGTTCGAGACCAGCCTGGCCAACATAATGAAACCCCCGTCTGTACTAAAAAATGCAGAAATTAGCCGGGCGTGCTGGCGGGTGCCTGTAATCCCAGCGCTTTGAGAGCCCGAGGCGGGCAGATCACAAGGTCAGGAGTTCGAGACCAGCCTGGCCAGCAGGGTGAAACCCTGTCTCTATTAAAAATACAAAAATCAGCTGGGTGTGGTGGTGGGCGCCTGTAATCCCACCTACTCAGGAGGCTGAGGCAGGAGAATCTCTTGAACCCAAGAGGTGGAGGCTGCAGTGAGGCGAGTTGGTGACAGAGCCAGACTCCGTCTCAAAATAAAAGAACCAAAACTCCTGCCCGCTCCGTGGACAGAGCAGCCCTGAGGACTGACTTCTGGTTGCCCATTTTTATGGTGATTTGTTGGTAATATTGTAAAGGAGGGGTGGATTATTCACGCCTCCCCTTTTTTACGCGGCACGCGGTGAGTTCCTGAGGAGGCCACGGTATCTGTAACCCGCGCTGCCTACGGTGGGGGGTGTCTCAACGGCGCCTGCGTTAGAATCAGTGTATAATGAGCAGTGGGGGAGAGCAGAGGTCACTTTCATCAAATTCTCAGTTTTGGTGGGTTGGCGCCGGCTTCTTTATGGCCAGCTGTGGTCTCTCTCTCTAGGGTGGGATGTATACAGCTGGCCTGTGGTCTCTCTCTCTAGAGTGGGATGTATACAGCTGTCCTGTGGTCTCTCTCTCTAGAGTGGGATGTGTACAGCTGTCCTGTGGTCTCTCTCTCTAAAGTGGGATGTATACAGCTGGCCTGTGGTCTCTGTGTGTCTAGAGTGGGATGTATACAGCTGGCCTGTGGTCTCTCTCTAGAGTGGGATGTATACAGCTGTCCTGTGGTCTCTCTCTCTAGAGTGGGATGTATACAGCTGTCCTGTGGTCTCTCTCTCTAGAGTGGGATGTATACAGCTGTCCTGTGGTCTCTCTCTCTAGAGTGGGATGTATACAGCTGGCCTGTGGTCTCTCTCTCTAGAGTGGGATGTATACAGCTGGCCTGTGGTCTGTATCTAGAGTGGGATGTATACAGCTGGCCTGTGGTCTGTGTGTCTAGAGTAGGATGTATACAGCTGGCCCGTGATCTCTCTGTCCACAGTGGGATGTATACAGCTGGCCTGTGGTCTGTGTGTCTAGAGTAGGATGTATACAGCTGGCCCGTGATCTCTCTGTCCACAGTGGGATGTATACAGCTGGCCTGTGGTCTGTGTGTCTAGAGTGGGATGTATACAGCTGGCCTGTGGTCTGTGTGTCTAGAGTAGGATGTATACAGCTGGCCTGTGATCTCTCTGTCCACAGTGGGATGTATACAGCTGGCCTGTGGTCTGTGTGTCTAGAGTAGGTTGTATACAGCTGGCCCGTGATCTCTCTGTCCACAGTGGGATGTATACAGCTGGCCTGTGGTCTGTCTCTCTAGAGTAGGTTGTATACAGCTGGCCTGTGGTCTGTGTGTCTAGAGTGGCATGTATACAGCTGTCCTGTGGTCTGTGTGTCTAGAGTGGGATGTATACAGCTGGCCTGTGGTCTGTGTGTCTAGAGTAGGATGTATACAGCTGGCCTGTGGTCTGTGTGTCTAGAGTGGGATGTATACAGCTGGCTCATGATCTCTCTGTCCACAGTGGGATGTATACAGCTGGCCTGTGGTCTGTGTGTCTAGAGTGGGATGTATACAGCTGGCTCAAGATCTCTCTGTCCACAGTGGGATGTATACAGCTGGCCTGTGGTCTCTGTGTGTAGAGTGGGATGTATACAGCTGGCCTGTGCTCTCCATGTGTAGAGTGGGATGTATACAGCTGGCCTGTGGTCTGTGTCTAGAGTGGGATGTATACAGCTGGCCTGTGGTGTCTGTGTCTAGAATGGGATGTATACAGGTGGCCTGTGGTGTCTGTGTATAGCGTGGGATGTATATAGCTGGCCTGTGGTCTGTGTCTCGAGTGGGATGTGTACAGCTGGCCTGTGGTCTCTGTGTGTAGAGTGCGATGTATACAGCTGGCCTGTGGTCCTTGTGTCTAGAATGGGATGTATACAGCTGGCCTGTGGTCCTTGTGTCTAGAATGGGATGTATACAGCTGGCCTGTGGTCTGTGTCTAGAGTGGGATGTATACAGCTAGCCTGTGGTGTCTGTGTCTGGAATGGGATGTATACAGCTGGCCTGTGGTGTCTGTGTGTAGCGTGGGATGTATACAGGTGGCCTGTGGTCTGTGTCTAGAGTGGGATGTATACAGCTGGCCTGTGGTGTCTGTCTCTAGAATGGGATGTATACAGCTGGCCTGTGGTGTCTGTGTGTAGCGTGGGATGTATACAGCTGGCCTGTGGTGTCTGTGTGTAGCGTGGGATGTATACAGGTGGCCTGTGTTCTCTGTGTGTAGTGTGGGATGTATACAGCTGGCCTGTGGTGTCTGTGTGTAGCGTGGGATGTATACAGGTGGCCTGTGTTCTCTGTCTCTAGAGTGGGATGTATACAGCTGGCCTGTGGTTTCTGTGTGTGGGGTGGGATGTATACAGCTGGCATGTGGTGTCTGTGTCTAGAATGGAATGTATACAGGTGGCCTGTGTTCTCTGTGTGTAGTGTGGGATGTATACAGCTGGCCTGTGGTCTGTGTCTAGAGTGGGATGTATACAGCTGGCCTGTGGTGTCTGTGTGTAGAATGGGATGTATACAGGTGGCCTGTGTTCTCTGTGTTTAGAGTGGGATGTATACAGCTGGCCTGTGGTCTGTGTCTAGAGTGGGATGTATACAGCTGGCCTGTGGTGTCTGTGTGTAGCGTGGGATGTATACAGCTGGCCTGTGGTATGTGTCTAGAATGGGATGTATACAGCTGGCCTGTGGTGTCTGTGTGTAGTGTGGGATGTATACAGCTGGCCTGTGGTATGTGTCTAGAGTGGGATGTATACAGCTGGCCTGTGGTCTGTGTCTAGAGTGGGATGTATACAGCTGGCCTGTGTTCTCTGTGTGTAGCGTGGGATGTATACAGCAGTCTCGCTCTGTCACCCAGGCCTGGCTCGACTCCTCGTAGAATGACGTGGCTGCAGGTTCCGTGGCCTCCGGAGACGCCACGGTGTATTTCTTCGCGTGTGAAGCAGGTGCAGGAACCAGCGAGCGTCGGGGGGGGGGAAAGGCTCTTCCGTGATAATTCCTGAAAAGTGCTTTTCAGCCGAGCCCCATATGTCATTGTCAAGTCAGAAGATCACGCTTAGCGTCTCTTTTGTGAATCAGGGACTGGGGGTGGGGGCGGGTGCAAATCTCCCTGGTAGGAATGGGCCCAAATGCAAACCTTTTTTTTTTTTTGGTTTGGTTGTTGCATTAGGTGATTCATGGACAAAACTTTCCGGAAATACCTTCTCAAATCATATCACGGTCGGGACCTCCATCTTCAAGCCGCGTTTTATCTCCAGGCCGGGAGCGGAAATGATCACGTTTAATCAGACACACCTGAGGTAGGTGTGGGTGGGAAGGGAGAAAAAGGCAACACTGAGGCTGAAAATACATGCTCTGTCACCCAGGCTGGAGCGCGGTGGTGAAATCTTGGTTCACTTGTATTTTTAGTAGAGGTGGGGTTTCGCCATGTTGGCCAGGCCGGCTTCGAACTCCTGACCTCAAGTGATCCACCCGCCTCGGCCTCCCAAAGCGCTGGGATTACAGGCCTGAGCCGTGGCGCATGGCCTGGTGTCATTTAAATAAATCCTGCAGCCTTATTTTCTTTTTCTGTAAAATTTGTCCTAATTAGCAGTCAAGTTACATTTTAATTATTATAGGTGGGTGTGTATAAGTGTTTTTGCAACTTATGTACGTATGTAAATGTATAAACACATGTACACACATGTATATGCACAAACAGATATACATGCGTGTACACATGTACACACATACACATATATACAAATACATATATACACATTTAAACACAGATGTATACACATATATACACATATACACATGCATCTATACACATATGCACCTGTACAAATACATATCTACATATATAGAAACAAATATACACATACACACATATACAAAATAAATATAAACATACATATATACACACGTGTAGAAACACATATATACACATTCATACACACATATATCCACATACACACATATATACACATACATGCATATATACACATATGCATCTATACAAATACACATCTACATATATAGAAACAAATATACACAGACACACAAAATAAATATAAACATACATATATGCCCACATGTATAGAAACACATATACACATTCATACACGGATATATACAGATACACACATACATACACATACACACATGCACATATGCATCTATACAAATACATATCTACATATATAGAAACAAATATACACAAACACACACAAAATAAATATAAACATACATATATAAACGCATGTGTAGAAACACATATGTACACATTCATACACAGATGTACAGACATACACACATATATACACATACACTGATGCATCTGTACACACATGCATCTATACAAATACAGATCTACATATATAGAAACAAATATACACAGACACACAAAATAAATATAAACATACATATATACACACATGTGTAGAAACACATATATACACATTCATACACAGATATGTCCACATACACACATATATACACATACACACATGCATATATACACATATGCATCTATACAAATACACATCTACATATATAGAAGCAAATATACACAGACACACAAATATAAACATACATATATACACACATGTGTAGAAACACATATATACACATTCATGCACAGATATATACATGTACACACATGCATATATACACATGCATCTCTGCAAATATATATCTACATATACACAAAGAAATACACGAAATAAATATACATATATACACATGTACAGAATAAATATACACACATTTACACAAACATGCACATGCAAAAACATACACACGTATATACACATATGTATATACAGAAAGCATATACACACATTTTCCCGGTTTCCCAATACCAGGTGTGGCACACTGATGTGACTTCATAGAGTGGGATGTATACAGCCGGCCTGTGGTCTCTGTCTGTAGAGTGGGATGTACACAGCTGGCCTGTGGTCTGTATCTAGAGTGGGATGTACACAGCTGGCCTGTGGTCTGTATCTAGAGTGGGATGTATACAGCTGGCCTGTGGTCTGTGACTAGAGTGAGATGTATACAGCCGGCCTGTGGTCTCTGTGTGTCTAGTGTGGGATGTATACAGCTGGCCTGTGGTCTGTATCTAGAGTGGGATGTATACAGCTGGCCTGTTGTCTCTGTGTGTAGCGTGGGATGTATACAGCTGGTCTGTGGTCTGTATGTAGTGTGGGATGTATACAGCTGGCCTGTGGTCTGTATCTAGAGTGAGATGTATACAGCTGGCCTGTGGTCTGTATCTAGAGTGAGATGTATACAGCTGGCCTGTGGTCTGTGACTAGAGTGGGATGTATACAGCCGGCCTGTGGTCTCTGTGTGTCTAGAGTGGGATGTATACAGCTGGCCTGTGGTCTGTATCTAGAGTGGGATGTATACAGCTGGCCTGTGGTCTCTGTGTGTAGCGTGGGATGTATACAGCTGGCCTGTGCCCTCTGTGTGTAGAGTGGGATGTATACAGCTGGCCTGTGGTCTGTGTCCAGAGTGGGATGTATACAGCTGTCATGTCCTCTCTGTGTCTAGAGTGAGATATATACAGCTGGCCTGTGGTTTCTGTCTCTAGAGTGAGATGTATACAGCTGGCCTGTGCTCTCTGTGTCTAGAGGGGGATGTATACAGCTGGCCTGTGGTCTGTATCTAGAGTGGGATGTATACAGCTGGCCTGTGGTCTGTATCTAGAGTGAGATGTATACAGCTGGCCTGTGGTCTGTGTCTAGAGTGAGATGTATACAGCTGGCCTGTGGTCTGTGTCTAGAGTGGGATGTATACAGCTGGCCTGTGGTCTCTGTGTGTCTAGAGTGGGATGTATACAGCTGGCCTGTGGTCTGTATCTAGAGTGGGATGTATACAGCTGGCCTGTGGTCTCTGTGTGTAGCGTGGGATGTATACAGCTGGCCTGTGCCCTCTGTGTGTAGAGTGGGATGTATACAGCTGGCCTGTGGTCTGTGTCCAGAGTGGGATGTATACAGCTGTCATGTCCTCTCTGTGTCTAGAGTGAGATATATACAGCTGGCCTGTGGTTTCTGTCTCTAGAGTGAGATGTATACAGCTGGCCTGTGCTCTCTGTGTCTAGAGTGGGATGTATACAGCTGGCCTGTGGTCTGTATCTAGAGTGGGATGTATACAGCTGGCCTGTGGTCTGTATCTAGAGTGAGATGTATACAGCTGGCCTGTGGTCTGTATCTAGAGTGAGATGTATACAGCTGGCCTGTGGTCTGTGACTAGAGTGGGATGTATACAGCCGGCCTGTGGTCTCTGTGTGTCTAGAGTGGGATGTATACAGCTGGCCTGTGGTCTGTATCTAGAGTGGGATGTATACAGCTGGCCTGTGGTCTCTGTGTGTAGCGTGGGATGTATACAGCTGGCCTGTGCCCTCTGTGTGTAGAGTGGGATGTATACAGCTGGCCTGTGGTCTGTGTCCAGAGTGGGATGTATACAGCTGTCATGTCCTCTCTGTGTCTAGAGTGAGATATATACAGCTGGCCTGTGGTTTCTGTCTCTAGAGTGAGATGTATACAGCTGGCCTGTGCTCTCTGTGTCTAGAGTGGGATGTATACAGCTGGCCTGTGGTCTCTGTGTGTAGAGTGGGATGTATACAGCTGGCCTGTGGTCTGTGACTAGAGTGGGATGTATACAGCTGGCCTGTGGTCTCTGTGACTAGAGTGAGATGTATACAGCTGGCCTGTGGTCTCTGTCTCTAGAGTGGGATGTATACAGCTGGCCCGTGGTATGTGTGTACCGTGGGATGTATACAGCTGGCCTGTGCTCTCCATGTATAGAGTGGGATGTATACAGCCGGCCTGTGGTCTGTGTCTAGAGTGTGATGTATACAGCCGGCCTGTGGTCTGTGTGTAGAGTGGGATGTATACAGCTGGCCTGTGGTTTCTGTCTCTAGAGTGAGATGTATACAGCTGGCCCGTGGTATGTGTGTAGCGTGGGATGTATACAGCTGGCCTGTGGTTTCTGTCTCTAGAGTGAGATGTATACAGCTGGCCTGTGGTCTCTGTCTCTAGAGTGGGATGTATACAGCTGGCCTGTGGTGTCTGTCTCTAGAGTGGGATGTATACACCTGGCCCGTGGTCTGTGTGTAGCGTGGGATGTATACAGCTGGGCTGTGGTCTCTGTCTCTAGAGTGGGATGTATACAGCTGGCCTGTTGTCTCTGTCTCTAGAGTGAGATGTATACAGCTGGCCCGTGGTATGTGTGTAGCGTGGGATGTATACAGCTGGCCTGTGGTCTCTGTCTCTAGAGTGAGAAGTATACAGCTGGCCCGTGGTCTGTGTGTAGCGTGGGTTGTATACAGGTGGCCTGTGGTTTCTGTCTCTAGAGTGAGATGTATACAGCTGGCCCGTGGTATGTGTGTAGTGTGGGATGTATACAGCTGGGCTGTTGTCTCTGTCTCTAGAGTGGGATGTATACAGCTGGCCCGTGGTATGTGTGTAGCGTGGGGTGTATACAGCTGGCTGGTGCTCTCTGTCAGGTGTGTATACAGCAGGCGTCTCACACTGACCTCAGCTCGCGGCATTTCTGGGCCTCCTGGTCTGCAGACAGCCTGGGTCCTCATTCCCTGGGGTTCACTCTGGGGCGTTTTCCCTCCTGGGCTGGGGTGACCTTGAACTTGCGGCCGCTTGTCGGGAAACATCAGTGAAGGTTTCCGTGGGAACCAGTCAGTTCCTGGAAGCTCCGCCCCTTCAATTTCTTTCTTTTTTTTTTTTTTTTCTTTTGAAACCGAGTCTCATTCTTGTTTCCCAGGCTTGGCTTCCGTGGCGCCATCTCGGCTCACTGCATCCTCCACCTCCCGGGTTCAAGCTGTCCTCCTCCCTCAGCCTCCGCAGTGGCCGGGATTACAGGCCCGGCCAGTTCTGTATATTGAGTAGAGACGGGGTTTGTCCGTGTTGCCCGGGCTGGTGTCGAACTCGCGACCTCAGGACACACACACATTGATTGCGTCACTGTTCACAATAGCAAAGACTTGGAACCAACGCAAAGGCCCGTCAGTGATAGGCTGGATGAAGAAAATGTCTCCCATAGACACCACGGAATACTACGAGGCCATGAAAAAGGAAGAGTTGGTTTCCTTTGGAGGGACATGGATGAAGCTGGAAAGTGTCATTTTCAGTAAACGGACACAAGAACAGAAAATCAAACACCGTATGTTGTCACCCGTAAGTGGGCGTTGGACCACGAGAACACACGGACACGGGGAGGGGAACGTCGCACAATGGGGCCTCGGGGGTGGGGGATTGGGGAGGGAGACCAGGGGGTGGGGGGATTGGGGACGGAGACCAGGGGGTGGGGGGATTGGGGAGGGAGACCAGGGGGTGGGGGGACTGGGGAGGGAGACCAGGGGGTGGGGGGATTGGGGACGGAGACTAGGGGGTGGGGGGATTGGGGAGGGATAGCAGGGGATGGGGGGATTGGGGAGGGAGACCAGGGGGTGGGGGGATTGGGGAGGGATAGCAGGGTGTGGGGGTATTGGGGAGGGAGACCAGGGGGTGGGGGGATTGGGGAGGGAGACCAGGGGGTGGGGGGATTGGGGAGGGAGACCAGGGGGTGGGGGGATTGGGGAGGGAGAGCAGGGGGTGGGGGGATTGGGGAGGGAGACCAGGGGGTGGGGGGATTGGGGACGGAGACTAGGGGGTGGGGGGATTGGGGAGGGATAGCAGGGGATGGGGGTATTGGGGAGGGAGAGCAGGGGGTGGGGGGATTGGGGAGGGAGAGCAGGGGGTGGGGGGATTGGGGAGGGAGAGCAGGGGGTGGGGGGATTGGGGAGGGAGAGCAGGGGGTGGGGGGATTGGGGAGGGAGAGCAGGGGGTGGGGGGATTGGGGAGGGATAGCAGGGTGTGGGGGTATTGGGGAGGGAGACCAGGGGGTGGGGGGATTGGGGAGGGAGAGCAGGGGGTGGGGGGATTGGGGAGGGAGAGCAGGGGGTGGGGGGATTGGGGAGGGAGAGCAGGGGGTGGGGGGATTGGGGAGGGAGAGCAGGGGGTGGGGGGGATTGGGGAGGGAGACCAGGGGGTGGGGGGATTGGGGAGGGAGACCAGGGGGGTGGGGGTGATTGGGGAGGGAGACCAGGGGGTGTGGGGATTGAGGAGGGAGAGCAGGGGGTGGGGGGATTGGGGAGGGAGACCAGGGGGTGGGGGGATTGGGGAGGGAGAGCAGCGGGTGGGGGGATTGGGGAGGGAGACCAGGGGGTGGGGGGATTGGGGAGGGATAGCAGGGGGTGGGGGGATTGGGGAGGGAGACCAGGGGGTGGGGGGATTGGGGAGGGAGACCAGGGGGTGGGGGGATTGGGGAGGGATAGCAGGGGGTGGGGGGACTGGGGAGGGATAGCAGGGGGTGGGGGGACTGGGGAGGGATAGCAGGGGGTGGGGGGACTGGGGAGGGATAGCAGGGGGTGGGGGGACTGGGGAGGGAGACCAGGGGATGGGGGGATTGGGGAGGGAGACCAGGGGGTGGGGGGATTGGGGAGGGATAGCAGGGGGTGGGGGGATTGGGGAGGGATAGCAGGGTGTGGGGGGATTGGGGAGGGAGACCAGGGGGTGGGGTGATTGGGGAGGGAGACCAGGGGGTGGGGGGATTGGGGAGGGAGAGCAGGGGGTGGGGGGATTGGGGAGGGAGAGCAGGGGGTGGGGGGATTGGGGAGGGAGAGCAGGGGGTGGGGGGATTGGGGAGGGAGACCAGGGGGTGGGGGATTGGGGAGGGAGAGCAGGGGGTGGGGGTATTGGGGTGGGAGAGCAGGGGGTGGGGGGATTGGGGAGGGAGAGCAGGGGGTGGGGGGATTGGGGAGGGAGAGCAGGGGGTGGGGGGATTGGGGAGGGAGAGCAGGGGGTGGGGGGATTGGGGAGGGAGACCACGGGGTGGGGGGATTGGGGAGGGAGACCAGGGGGTGGGGGGATTGGGGAGGGAGACCAGGGGGTGGGGGGATTGGGGAGGGAGACCAGGGGGTGGGGGGATTGGGGAGGGAGACCAGGGCGTGGGGGGATTGGGGAGGGAGAGCAGGGGGTGGGGGGATTGGGGTGGGAGAGCAGGGGGTGGGGGGATTGGGGAGGGAGACCAGGGGGTGGGGGCATTGGGGAGGGAGAGTAGGGGGTGGGGGGATTGGGGTGGGAGACCAGGGGTGGGGGGATTGGGGAGGGAGACCAGGGGGTGGGGGGATTGGGGAGGGAGACCAGGGGGTGGGGGGATTGGGGAGGGAGAGCAGGGGGTGGGGGGATTGGGGAGGGAGACCAGGGGGGGGGGGATTGGGGACGGAGACTAGGGGGTGGGGGGATTGGGGAGGGATAGCAGTGGATGGGGGATTGGGGAGGGAGACCAGGGGGTGGGGGGATTGGGGAGGGAGACCAGGGGGTGGGGGGATTGGGGAGGGAGACCAGGGGGTGGGGGGATTGGGGAGGGATAGCAGGGGGTGGGGGGACTGGGGAGGGATAGCAGGGGGTGGGGGGACTGGGGAGGGATCGCAGGGGGTGGGGGGACTGGGGAGGGATAGCAGGGGGTGGGGGACTGGGGAGGGATAGCAGGCGGTGGGGGGATTGGGGAGGGAGACCAGGGGGTGGGGGGATTGGGGAGGGATAGCAGGGGGTGGGGGGATTGGGGAGGGATAGCAGGGTGTGGGGGGATTGGGGAGGGAGACCAGGGGGTGGGGGGATTGGGGAGGGAGACCAGGGGGTGTGGGGATTGGGGAGGGAGAGCAGGGGGTGGGGGGATTGGGGAGGGAGAGCAGGGGGTGGGGGGATTGGGGAGGGAGAGCAGGGGGTGGGGGGATTGGGGAGGGAGAGCAGGGGGTGGGGGATTGGGGAGGGAGAGCAGGGGGTGGGGGTATTGGGGTGGGAGAGCAGGGGGTGGGGTGATTGGGGAGGGAGAGCAGGGGGTGGGGGGATTGGGGAGGGAGAGCAGGGGGTGGGGGGATTGGGGAGGGAGAGCAGGGGGTGGGGGATTGGGGAGGGAGACCACGGGGTGGGGGGATTGGGGAGGGAGACCAGGGGGTGGGGGGATTGGGGAGGGAGACCAGGGGGTGGGGGGATTGGGGAGGGAGACCAGGGGGTGGGGGGATTGGGGAGGGAGACCAGGGGTGGGGGGATTGGGGAGGGAGAGCAGGGGGTGGGGGGATTGGGGTGGGAGAGCAGGGGGTGGGGGGATTGGGGAGGGAGACCAGGGGGTGGGGGCATTGGGGAGGGAGAGTAGGGGGTGGGGGGATTGGGGTGGGAGACCAGGGGTGGGGGGATTGGGGAGGGAGACCAGGGGGTGGGGGGATTGGGGAGGGAGAGCATTAGGAGAAATACCTAAATATAGGTGATGGGGGATGGATGCAGCAAACCACCCTGGCCCGTGTAGACACCTTGTCACCATCCTGCACAGGTGCCCCCAGAAATTAAAGTATAATAAATAAAATTAAAAAAAAAAATTTTTTTTTAAATAAATTAAGAAGAAAAAAACAATAATAAGTATATTTTCACGTCGTTCCCTCGTTCTGGAAAACGAGACTTCAGATTCCTGCGTGAGGTGGACTCTGGGTGTGTTCACAGCTGTTTCAGGAGGATATACACGGTTCCCTGACGCTTGTACCCCATGAAACGTTCATTGTTGGGGTCGACTCCTCCAGGTAGAATTATTGGATTTCATCCCACGCACTTGTAAAAGGCGCGATTCATCGTGTGAAACGACTTGGGGGTGGGGGGGGGGGAAGTTCTAATTTATGGTCGTACCAGCCACGCTGGACGTCACCAGGGTCGTTGTGCTGTGATTAACGTGACGTTTCCTTGTAAAAGGAAAATGAGAAACTGTGCAAATGTCATCGTCTCCAAAAATTCCAAATTTTTTTTTTTTTTTTTTTGTGGGGAACAGTTGGTTTTCATGATTATGAGTTACGTGTGTTTCTCTTCTGTAAATTAGTTGCCGTGAGCCGTTGTCAGGGCCCTGAACTTTGGAGGCCACGAAACTGGGTTTCAATCCAAACACAACACCACGATTTACTACCTCGGTTTCTCCGGAGAACTTAATTCATTCCTTCGACTGTGACTTTCTCAGTCTGTGGCAAACCACCTAGACTTTTTAACGACACGTAAACCAGCTAATATATGCACATTGAGTAACGTGGAATTTTAATGCACGTAAAGCGGTCCGTGAATAGCAGCCATTCTTGTTGATTTGTAAGAGCTCTTTATATGTTAAGGACACAGGCTCTTTGATCCTTGCCAAATTTCGTGACTATTCCTGAGCTTCTTTTATGCTGCTTGAAATGGTTTATGTTTTTTTTAAACATAAAGAGGTTTAAAATTGAATGTAGTCGAATGGACCTGTTTTTATTTCTGGAAAGTTCTTCTCAATGGAGACGTGTAACATTCATTTATATTTTAAGATACATTTTGTGACTAATCAATATCTACTGTTTAAGCCACTGGGTCTGGGTCTGGCACTTACGGAAGCCGAAAAACAGGAACATAAATGAATTTTAATGATTTACATTTTTTTTTAAAAAAATGATACTTTAGGTTCTGGGGTCCACGTAGAGACTGTGCAGGTTTTTACACAGGTAACCACGTCCCATGGTGCTTTGCTGCATCCATGTCCCCGTCTTCTACATCAGGTATTTCTCCTAATTCTCTCCGTCCCCGATGCCGTCACCACCTGATATCCGTCCCCGAAGTCCCCACCTGACGACCTCTGACCGTTCACTGCTGGGGTAAAAACAGGGACCGGTTCATGCCAGTTAGAAGGGCTGTTTTTTTTTGGGGTGGGGGGGGATGGAGTCTTGCTCTGTCGCCCAGGCCGCAGGGCGGTGGCACAATCTCTGCTCACCGCAGCCTCTGCCTCCTGGGTTCAAGCCATTCTCCCGCCTCGGCCTCGCAAACACCTGGGATCACAGGCACCCGCCACGGTGCCCAGGTTAAGTGTTTCCATTTTTAGTAGACGTGGGGTCTCACCATATTGGCCAGGCTGGTCTCAAACCCCTGATCTCGTGATCCACTGTTTTTGGGCCTCACCAAGTGCTTAAGTAGCAAAGTTCCTTTTTAAAGTTTTCTTGTTAAATCATAAGTGTGCTCGTAACTCCGTGAGGCCCCATCCTACGTGGCTCATAGACACGCCGAGCTCATCCTTGTTCATGGCTGCATAGTATTCCATAGTGATCCTACGTGGCTGTTAGACACGCCGAGCTCATCCTTGTTCATGGCTGCATAGTATTCCATAGTGATCCTACGTGGCTGTTAGACACGCCGAGCTCATCCTTGTTCATGGCTGCATAGTATTCCATAGTGATCCTACGTGGCTGTTAGACACGCCGAGCTCATCCTTGTTCATGGCTGCATAGTATTCCATAGTGATCCTACGTGGCTGTTAGACATGCCAAGCTCATCCTTGTTCATGGCTGCATAGTATTCCCTAGAAATCCTACGTGGCTGTTAGACACACCGAGCTCATCCTTGTTCATGGCTGCATAGTATTCCATAGTAATCCTACGTGGCTGTTAGACACGCCGAGCTCATCCTTGTTCATGGCTGCATAGTATTCCATAGTGATCCTACGTGGCTGTTAGACACGCCGAGCTCATCCTTGTTCATGGCTGCATAGTATTCCATAGTAATCCTACGTGGCTGTTAGACACTCCGAGCTCATCCTTGTTCATGGTTGCATAGTATTGCACAGTAATCCTACGTGGTGTTAGACACGCCGAGCTCATCCTTGTTCATGGCTGCATAGTATTCCACAGTAATCCTACGTGGCTGTTAGACACACGGAGCTCATCCTTTTTCATGGCTGCATAGTATTCCATAGTAATCCAATGTGGTGTTAGACACGCCGTGCTCATCCTTCTTCATGGCTGCATAGTATTCCATAGTAATCCCACGTGGCTGTTAGACACGCCGAGCTCATCCTTGTTCATGGCCGCATAGTATTCCATAGTAATCCTACGTGGTTGTGAGACACGCCAAGCTCATCCTTTTTCATGGCTGCATAGTATTCCATAGTAATCCCACGTGGCTGTTTGACACGCCGAGCTCATCCTTGTTCATGGCCGCATAGTATTCCATAGTAATCCTACGTGGCTGTTAGACACGCCGAGCTCACAGACACGTAGGACATTCCACGTCCTTGTCCTTTCACCGAGATATCAGAGCTGGACGTGGTCACAGCCGTGTCCCAGGTGTCCGTGGCTGTCACCTGATTAGAAAAGTTTCAAGTCGTCACCCAGTCGGGTTTGAGTTTAGATGGTGAGTCTGGTTCCCGCCCACGGGGCTCAGACAGGGCAGGAAGGACGACCCCACATGAGTCAGGGATACACGTGTGTGTTTTCCATGGTTCATTGTACTCTCGTGGCACGATGGCTACTGAGGGTCCCCTCCCTGCACCCCAGGAAGTAAAAACCGCGTTGCTGAGAGATGCTTTGTCTCAGGGCTGATGTTTCTTTGTGGCACCGAGAGCCTATTTCCAACCATATATATACATTTGTATATTATATATTATGTTGATATAATTATAAATATATAATTATATATATTTATAAGTTTATAAGAATATATTTATATATATATGGGTGTAATAATGGTTTCTACAAGTTAGAGTTTTTCTAGTATGTTGACAAATGACCCTGCGTCTAAATAAATATATTATATGTTATGTGTATTTATATATATACTTATATATTTAGATATATTTGTATATTTACATATATAAACAGATATATTTTAATGATATTATATTATAAATCCTTAATCATATATTAAATATTATATACACTTATAAATAATACATACTATTTATATATTTATATATTATATTATATTATATATAATTTATACATATTATGTTATACATAAATTATATAAATGTTATATATAAATTAGATATATATATTATATGATATATATATTTATTTTATATATTATGCCTAATATATATAATTTATATATTGATATAAATTATATATTTATATAAATAAATATAAATATTAATAAATATATAATATATATAATTATATATAATTTATATAGATTATTTATATAAATATATATATTTATTTTATATATAGTATATGTAATATATATCACATTATGTATATTTAATATATCTAAATATATAGATATCTAAATATATGTGTTACATATATGATATATAAATATATATATTGCATATAATATGTATTATACATATTTAGAGGCAAGGTTATTTTTTAACATACCAGAAAAGCTCTAACTTGGAGAAAGTGCTTTTGCACTTGTGTTAATATATTAAATACGTGTGTGTGTGTGTGTGTGTGGGTATGTGTGTGTGTCTGTGTGTGTGTGTGTCTGTGTGTCTGTGAGTGTGTCTGTGTCTGTGTGTGTGTGTCTGTGTATGTGGTTGTGTCTGCGTGTCTGTGTCTGTGTCTGTGTGTGTGTCTGTGTGTATGTGTGTGTGTCTGTGTGTGTGTGTCTGTGAGTGTGTCTGTGTGTCTGTGAGTGTGTTTGTGTCTGTGTGTGTGTCTGTGTGTATGTGTCTGTGTGTGTGATTCTGTGTGTGTCTCTGTGTGTGTGTCTGTGTTTGTCTGTGTGTGTCTGTGTGTGTGTCTGTGTGTATGTGTGTGTCTGTGTGTGTGTCTGTGTGTGTCTGTGTGTGTCTGTGTACGTGTGTCTGTGTGTCTGTGAGTGTGTCTGTGTCTGTGTGTGTGTGTCTGTGTATGTGGTTGTGTCTGCGTGTCTGTGTGTCTGTGTCTGTGTGTGTGTCTGTGTGTATGTGTGTGTGTCTGTGTGTGTGTGTCTGTGAGTGTGTCTGTGTGTCTGTGAGTGTGTCTGTGTCTGTGTGTGTGTCTGTGTGTATGTGTCTGTGTGTGTGATTCTGTGTGTGTCTCTGTGTGTGTGTCTGTGTTTGTCTGTGTCTGTCTGTGTGTGTGTCTGTGTGTCTGTGTGTGTGTCTGTGTGTGTGTCTGTGTGTGTCTGTGTACATGTGTGTGTCTGTGTGTGTGTCTGTGTGTGTGTCGGTGTACGTGTGTGTCTGTGTGTGTGTCTGTGTATGTGTGTGTGTCTGTGTGTGTCTGTGTGTGTCTGTGTGTGTGTCTGTGTGTCTGTGTGTGTGTCTGTATGTGTGTGTTTCTGTGTGTGTGTCTGTGTCTGTGTGTGTCTGTGTCTGTGTGTGTGTGTCTGTGTCTGTGTGTGTGTGTCTGTGTATGTGGTTGTGTCTGCGTGTCTGTGAGTGTGTCTGTGTCTGTGTGTCTGTGAGTGTGTCTGTGTGTTTGTGAGTGTGTCTGTGTCTGTGTGTGTGTCTGTGTGTATGTGTGTGTGTCTGTGTGTCTGTGAGTGTGTCTGTGTGTCTGTGAGTGTGTCTGTGTCTGTGTGTGTGTGTCTGTGTGTCTGTGAGTGTGTCTGTGTGTCTGTGAGTGTGTCTGTGTCTGTGTGTGTGTGTCTGTGTGTATGTGTCTGTGTGTGTGATTCTGTGTGTCTCTGTGTGTGTGTGTCTGTGTTTGTCTGTGTGTGTCTGTGTGTGTGTCTGTGTATGTGTGTGTGTCTGTGTGTGTCTGTGTGTGTGTCTGTGTACGTGTGTGTGTCTGTGTGTGTGTCGGTGTACGTGTGTGTATGTGTGTGTCTGTGTGTGTCTGTGTGTGTGTGTGTGTGTCTGTGTGTGTGTCTGTGTGTGTGTCTGTGTGTGTGTGTCTGTGTGTGTCTGTGTGTATGTGTGTGTGTCTGTGTATGTGTGTGTGTCTGTGTGTGTGTCTGTGTGTGTATGTGTGTCTCTGTGTGTGTGTCTGTGTGTGTGTATGTGTATGTCTGTGTGTGTGTGTCTGTGTATGTCTGTGTGTCCGTGTGTCTGTGTGTCTGTGTGTGTATGTGTGTCTGTGTGTGTGTCTGTGTATGTGTGTGTAACTTGCCCAAAGCACTTTCACACCCATAAATCAGGTTCACTCAATCCTCACACGTTCCCTTCAATTCCACGGGAGAAGACAGGTGACCCAGAGAAAGGGCCGTGGCTTCATTAGGCCACGTCGCCCGTTGGTGGCTGCGGAGGCCGAGACCTAGTTTCAGGCATCAGAGGCGATTTTCCTGGATGGGGGCTGAGAAACACACGTCCCCCGAGCCTGTCGTGTAACGACAAAGCCCCGGCGGGAAGGAGGGGACACAGGAGACCCACGGAGACGCCATCTACAGCCCACCCCGCCGAGCGACCACGGGCCTTGTCTCTTTTGCCAGCTGTGAACCACTTTCCACGGGTGGCTGTGGAAACACCTCATTCCACAGGGAAGTGTAAGTCACGAGTGGCTGGAAGTCGAGGGAGATGGGCGCGAAATCTTGTCCTTTTGTGTATTTGTGTA